ATTCGGATGTGGGCACTGAATTTTTTTGTGACAGGGTCCTAGCTGTAGAGAATGGAAGGGGCTTTTCCCACTCCTTTATGTTTGGCATCTATAACTTCAAAATTGTTACTAAAATAGGAAGAGTTCATTCCCTTCTGAGACCAGGAATCAGAATCTGCTGGGAAGAAAAGGGCAAAAATTGAGAAATCAATCGGTTGTGCACTTTGAGGAGGAATCATTTAAGCAATTATTTGTTATTGAGCTTCCAGAGGGAAAAGGCGTAGTGGAGAAGTTAGGAGAATTAATTGTATCTGGGTTCTGCTGCTCAGTTTGCGTGAGATATTACTTAATCCCTCTTGGTCTCTGGTTTCCCTGCAAGATTAAGGATGCCTTCTGATCACTGCAAGAAGCTTTATCAGCAACGAAAGACTTGGGGTAACGCAAAAAACCATTCCAGTGAGACACAAATGCAGGAGCAGGCCTTCATTCCCTTGAGGCCCTACAAGAATTCCTAGAAGTTGCGATACACGCTCACCCAGCAGTGCAGGCGTGGTTGCAGAAGAGCTGGAAGTTAGGGCTGCGTCCGGCCAGGGGAAGGAGCCGGCGCTGGGCGCAGACCTGCGGGTAAACGCTGCTCTCCGGAAGACAACTGGCAATTGTGACGGGGCTCACGCTCCTAGCAGCGCTGGCACCGCACCATCAGGGCTGTCTGGCACCGCGCGGGGTACTTCTCCCGTGAAAGAAAAACTAATGCTAAGCGAGATGGTTTTAGTGTGAGTTATGCTCCTCAAAATGCTATTACAGCAAGTAAAACAAGTGGCATCATTTCTCAGTGTTTTAAAATCAGCTACCCCGAAATCAATATGGATTTATTCCTTGTCTCTTCCCACAGCATCCAGAAGGATTTCCGTTCCACAGACAAAAATATACCTTCACTTGATGCACATTACGTATTGCGCCCGCCGTCAGTCACAGCGTGCGTTTGGCTGACTGTCCTGAGCCAATCGATCCTGCCCCCAGGCTATTCCTGGCTGGCTCGGTGGCGATGAACAGTGCCCCTTACGGATCGAGATCCGCGATGCCAGAACGAACAGATTCTGTTTCTCACAGAATGGTGGGCTAACTTCCGTTCTCGCGTGGAAGTGTGATTCCTGTTCGTGCTGCTTTTCATTCACAGTCTGAGCAATGCCTGACTGCTTCACGTACACGCGGCCGTGTCTGCTGTCGTTGCATAAGGTGTCCGAAGGCTGCACACCGTGGCTTGGATTTTGCAGGATTTGAGGTTTGTAGTTTATAAAACCCAGAAGTTAAATTTGGTTGTAGAGGGAGTTGGTTTAGCTGGAGCTGTCTGAGAAGATGCTGACCTTACTAGTGGTTTTTCCATACCAGGTGCTTTTCCAAAGCATTTCAGCTGGGGCGGGGGGGGTTAGAGTGTAAGTTCTGTTTATTTTCAGCGGCATCTCCATGGTTCTGAACCTCTTAGCCAGACTCTTCGTGGGCTGCAACTGGCTCATTAAAAAGCAGGGTTTAGGTCAGCTACTTCTGGTTTCCATGTGGGATAAATGCGTGGTTTGGAGTGACTGAAGGAGGAATGGCTTCTAGGATGGCAGTTGCTTTGAGCAGATTTTAGGGCAACTTTGGTCCAGAAACAGAAGCTTTACCGAGAAATGGCTCTGGAGCAAACCAAAATGTTTTGAGCATCAGTGTGTCACTGGGTTCTGGGGTCTCTTGAGGGCTGTAGCTACTATTTCAGAGCCTTATTCCCAAGAAACAGCTCAGCCAGCCCAACAGCAGCGCGTAGAAGGAAACTCACTGTCTGAACAGCAGGTACTCAGCCAGCTTGCTTAAATAAGAACACACATAACAGAGCAGGGAGTCCCCTCTTCAAGCTTATTACTCTTGCAATAAGCTGACAGGCACTGACTCGCTAACAGAAACGTTAAAACTGCTCCTGGTGATCTGACCTTGGCACTACTGGCTGTAGTCCTGTACCACAGAACTGCCCAGTAGGCAGTACCGGGTGTAGCGGAGGGGAGTCTGGATTCACTCGGGGGGGTTACCAAATCCAGATCTCGGGCTTGCGGGAGGGTTGCTCCCTGCAGGAAGAGGTGCAGGTACGAGCACAAGCCCCCAGACACTTCATTTGTATCCAACCTTGTGCCACAGGCGGCAGGATGGCTGCATTGTGCTAAAACCAGAGGACAGTTTGAAACGAGGGGAGGGGAATTGACGGCAGGCTTCACAGCGGGCACGTAGCTGCATTTTATACTCTTCCACATCGTCACAGTATTGCCCGGAATCTCTGTATCTAAGCATAGGTAAGTAGGTGACGAACAACAGCTGCTGCTAGCTGTGGGCCTAAGGTTTGTGAAGCGTGAAGTCAGAATTCAGAACAAACTTTGCTCTATAACAGGCTTTTAATTTACCATTTTTCAACTTCTGCAGTCTACACCTTCTATGTCCAGATATTTTTCTCTTGGACCAATCAAACCCATTTTTGTGCTGATTTAGTGTCTCGGTGCCCACCTTCTATACAAAGTAAAACTTGACGGTGTGGACAGCTCACATTTGTAGTAGGCTGGAGTGCGCTTACGTGGTGTGCAGAGCGGGGCAGGGACGTGCTCACTGCCTCGTGTTCGTTGTCACTGCCTCGGGTTGCTGAGAAGTCCCTTCCCAAGGAAGCTGGGGGGGACTTTTTACAAGGGCCTGTAGTGACAGGACAAGGGGTAACGGGTTTAAATTGAAAGTGGGGAGGTTTAGATTGGACATCAGGAAGAAGTTCTTCCTGGAGAGGGTGGTGAGGCACTGGAACAGGTTGCCCAGAGAAGCTGTGGATGCCCCATCCCTGGAAGTGTTCAAGGCCAGGCTGGATGAGGCTTTGAGCAACCTGGTCTAGTGGAAGGTGTCCCTGCCCATGGCAGGGGGGTTGGAACTGGATGGGCTGTAAGGGCCCTTCCAACCCAAACCCTGCTGTGATTCCCGTCCCACCCAAACGTAGCAGACTTCCTTCCCACTTGCTTTCCCTGCATTGTGCCTGAGCCCTCCCTGGGGAAGGTTGTAGTCGTATCGGTACACGGCATGCTCCCTCGCCCTGCAGCAGTCTGCGTGTGCATTACAGGTGAGCGGGGATGATCTCCAGCTCGTAAACATAAGGCCACGCAGGGGACAGAAGTAAAGCAAAACCAAAGGGCCAGGGATCAAGACTTGTGCAAGAGGGAGCATAGTGGGGCCTGTGAGCAGCTGTCGTTGAAGAGGGGAGCTGATTCCTCCTGAATAAGCAACCTGGTTTTTAATGCACTGAACCTGAAACAAATTTGGGGATGGGCTGCTCTGAGAAGCGAATCATTCTGTATTTTCTTTGTGTCTGTTCAAAACACTGGCCTGAACCACACAATATTTCGCTCAGGAGAATACAACTTTTGACTAACGAAAGCATTTACAAGTATGTGTAGAATTAGTGCTCCCTGCTCATCGGGCAGCAGTCAGGCAGCTGCCTTGAGGAGTTCAAGTACAGCGTGAAGGTCTAAGGCAGTGCCCCAGTCAAATCCTGCGGGGAGACCCTGAGACCTGCCGTGCCTTCCTCTGCTGGCACCCAGGAGCACAGAAGGCAGAGGAAAGGTAGCACGAGAGGGGTCTCATCTCTGCTGAGAAAACCCCCCTGAGCTGCTCCACAACTCGTCTGCCCTAATGATTTCCAGTCATGGCGTATCGGGTGGCTGTGGGCACCGGGACTAGACTGTTGACTTGCCTGCTGGGTCGGTGTTCTGCATTCTAAAACACTGTGGGATGGAGCAGGGCTCTGCTGGAGTGACTGTTATTTAACAGCTTCCACTTCAGTTAACATTGTGAAATAATACTAATCCGTGCAAGTGTTTGCGGTGGATTAGATTTCCCTGTGCTTGCACGGGTAGGGAGGTGTATCAGGAGCAACTGGAGAACAAAACTATACTGAAACTGGTCATCTGGATACAGTTTAAGAGCGTTTGAAGCACAACTGCACACACCAGGGACTGTTGCTGGCAAGACACACAGCCCTTCACATTCAATTGTCTTTGAGCAGTTTGCCTTCAATCTGACCTTTGTAAGAGGTGCAGCACAGAATCGACAGGCTCTGCAGCGACGCTTCGCTGCTGCCACCAAGCAAGAGCTCAGTTGTTTAAAAAAAACATAAACACACAAGTATTATTCAAAATGCTAATGCAAGTTTCTTTTTAATTTTGAATTAATCAAGGTTTTATGACTTAGTAAGAGGTATTTACAGCACCCTGCAGAAGCAGTGCAAAGCCAGAGTGCCTTGAGCCTAGCCAGGGCTGTGATTTTTGTTAAGAGTACAAACTCAGTGCAGAGGTCGCTTGGGCTGTAATTACTCCTACCAACCCCTCCCTCTGGTCCCAGCTACAGGCTCCTCTGTGTTTCGCCTACGCTGACTGACCCTCCAGCTGCTCCTCACGTGTTGCTGTCCCAGGAGCCTGGCACAGGGCAGAGCTTCATAACAGCCCAGGCTGAGAGAAAAAGGCAGCCAGCACTAGCCCCTGGCTAGCTGAAAGGTAGTGCAGGTCATCGATGCTGCTTAACCGGTGCACGTGTGCAAGTTAGGTCTTGCTAGGCTGTTCTCCACTCTGTGTGAGGAACCTCGCACCTACGCCAGCTCAAGCTTTATTGCTGCCGTGAAAGCAAGCCTTTCATAACAATTAAACTGATATTAATTAATTATGTTATTAGTTGTAAGGTCTATTTTTCAACTTCAAAGCAATACTACAGAGTAGATTTCAGAAGTCTGTGTCTGGGGGAGATGATGACCAAGTAGTCCCCATCCTACTTCCTTAACCAAGCTGAACAAAAACCAACCCACCCAAAATCAGTGGGTCCCCACAGCAGTATCTCATTGAGATATTTTGTTGCTGTCCTGTCTCTCACATCTGGCCAAGAACAAAGTGTAATTACAGGGATTACAGTAGACTCAGTGAGGCCTGTGCGTGTGCTAAGCGATAAACAAATTACCTTGCTGTTTGTTAGGGGAGTTACTTTCCTTTCTTTCTCCAAAGCTGCTCTTTCTCTACTTTCCCAACAAACTGCAGAATATCTTCAGCAAGAAGTTCTGGTTCCTCCAATGCGGCGAAGTGGCCACCTCGAGGCATGAAACGGAAGGAAACTATGTTGGTGTACTTCTTCTGGGCCCAGGCCTGGGGTGTGTGCATGACTTCATTAGGGAAGGAGGCGATGCCAGTAGGTACTTGTACCGTCAGCCTGGGAGAAGAGAGAGAATAATTGAAATCTTTCTAATGCTCCACTCTGAGACATGGCAAGTCCCAAGGAAATGTCGTTCTCTCGCAGCTGGGCACCCTGTTGTTGGCAATTTTAATTTTGACTTCCAGACCCTAAATCTGGAGACTAGCTCACACTCCTATTCCTGGGGAAGAAAAAAACCCAGAATATTCTATACACTGATATTAAGGCAATATTGCAAGGGAGCCAGGGAATGAGAGTTAGAAGCATGGAAATTGAGAAGAGAGGGCCCTAGGAGGTGGTGGGTATCAAGTTTCCTTATGCTGCATCCAGGGCTCAAAAGTCAGGTATTAAGGGGAAAGCACAGGTTTTGACAAGGGCTGGAGAAAGATTTACAGTGCCGATTACAACTAGAGCCTGGCAGGACAAGAATTATCTTGAACTGCTGTGAAGGGGGACGAGAGGGGAAGAATAGTAGAGAGTACATCTACTGTTCAGAGCAAACATTTCTGCACGCTGTAAAATAGCTCTTGCTTTTAACTGGCACCATTGCACTCCAGGCAACATCTTGCAGATGAGTAAATGTAGGGATGCAACTGGATTTGAGGGGAAAAGTATCTTAACAAGTGCAACGATCTGCACTTGTTATAAACAGAGCGACATTTTCTGGGTTTAAATCTCCTCCCACACACATAAGCTGCATTGTCAGAAGCAACAGGCTTTAAAATTCAGATACACAAGTTGTTGGGCACGTAACCAACTGGAAGCCTGAAAACAGGGTGCCTAGTTTTACGTAGGACTCTGAGACTCTTTCCTCTAGGCACAGAGCAGCTCATACAGCTCACATAGGCAGAACCAGAGCAGGATACTGCCCAGAGTGTAGCCCCAACGGCTTCAACAACTGAGTCAGCTTCCTGGGAGCATCATTTCACAGCTAAATAAATACCATAGCAGTGAGCTGTGGTTGCAGATGCCTCAGGGCAGGTTTAAGCCTTCGCTAACACTCAAGCTGACACAAGTATATGCAACCAAGCTGCTGTCTTAAGTGTCTGGCAGCAGGAACATCAGTCTTAATGACTTGCAAATCATGCAGTTGGTCGGTATGCTGCAGTTCCTTCCAGAGGCAGGACCCAAATCTTCTGCAGAAATAGGCAAAGTGTGTCCAGGAAAGTCCTAGCACAACAAAACAAATAAGCTATAAACAAAACCCACTGTGTGACTCAGTCACAGGCCAGTTCAGTAACTGAAGTCAAATGTGGAAGTACTGGCACGTGCTTTTCCCCAGCTGGATACACCATGAATGGGAGGTCCTCCAGCAGTGCCTCCAGTCAGATCTCCTTGCTGGTGGTTCAGGATTCTTACCCAACGGCTGTGTTTTCTGAGCACAACACAGGACATCACTAATAGACCTGTCCTGCAGAGGAACACTCTGATGCAGTATTGCTTTTCCTCAGCATTCAGAAACGTGCAGCAGCTGTAAGACTTAAGCAACCCGTCTGCAACCACGAAATCAAGTTTAGGGCAAAATATTTAAAGAAAAAACCCAACACGCTTACCTTTCATGTTTCTGCGTGCCTATCCCCTTCTGCAAATTCTCTTTGTAGAAACGCATCGAGGGGACTATGCAGCCTGACACCCAGTAGATCATGATATTGGTGAGCAGATCATCCAGGTTAAACTTCCTGAGAAGGTAAGGCCAGAAATTGCTTAGTTAGAACTGATACCATTTTGTATTTCTTGTGCAGGGACTGGACTTCGGTTTGGTTGTAAGAAAAAGAGGAAAATACTGTTAACTTGGTTAACAGTTGAGAGGTGAAGTGTGCTACTCCCCCTGTCTGTCAGTCACCAATTAAGCACGTTAAAGGCTTTCAGACACCAACTGGGAGGTGGCATGTTAACTCCTGCACAGACAGCAGGCTCCAACAAGCACCTTATGCTCCAGCATGGCTGTCCGTACTGTCCATAGGCTGGGAGTGTAGGAGCAGAAAAGCACGTGGAACAGCTTGTGCCATTTATTATTCATAATCTGAGATGCTACCGTGAGCCTTCGGCAGAGCCATCACGCCAACACATGCTGTAAACAGGGCATGTTTCGTAGCAGTGCAAACATTCTGTTTGAGTCCATTGTCGCTGGGCCTTTTCATATCTGTTCCTGCCAGGTACCTCAGCCCTTTTCAGAGGGGACCTCATCTCGGATTTCTGCCCCACACTAAGGATGACCAAATGGTAGGTAGGTGAGGCAATACTGATCAATCTGAAGCAAATTCATAGTTAAGTATTAGTATTAAAAGGATCTCCAGTTCTGTTTCCCAGCACCTTAACGCCAGTTAAACTTTGGGGTTTGTGTCCTAGTGAGATTCTTCCACCTACATCAGTTTTTAATACCCAGACACTGCAGGGTGGCTCTTTTCTAGGAGATCAAAGTGGGAAGGGAGTACGTCAGCCTTCCTGGCCTACTCGCTGCTTCGCCTGCTGTAGTACAACACTGCACCATTTCTGGGCACTATAGGCTCCCTGCGAGATGTGAGGCGATCAGTTCAGACAAACCTCTTCAGCTCTGACTCTGGGCTTAGTCACCTCACCCAAAATGGCATCAGGGGAAACGCTCACCTCTGCAGTCCTCCATCCTCTAGATTACGGAATTCCAGATCAGTCCACGTAGAAAACTTCTCCAAGATGTATGCAGCCAGTCCTACAGGGGAGTCATTCAAACCACAGCCTGGAAGGGAGGAGGAAAATTCAACTCAAATCATAGAATGGTTTGGGTTGGAAGGGACCTTAAAGATCCCTTCTGACTGCTGAATTCAGACTGTTACAGAAGCGGCCCAGTATAATACAGGTAGATAACTTTACAGAGCTGTTCCAGCAGCTGTTCTTAAATAAATAAAATAGTAGAACAAGTTGGAGCCATTTATTGTTGAATCATAAACTGATATTATCTACAAACCAACAGGCTCTGCATTAGCTCACACTCTATGTTTTTTTTTAACTGATGTAACAGCATTGGATTTCTGCTGGCTTCCCTCACCCCCCTTGTGAGCTAATAAGATTAAGCCCCATGTGCCAAGTAGGGTTCGCTTCCATTAATCTGGAAGTTGTCATGTATTAAACAGCATTACAGGGCCAAACCCCACATGCCTACACATGACCCGGAGCATTTGCACCCTTACCCAACAGCAAAAAACATTTTAAGGATTATTAGAAAGTCATTAAGTAAGAGCAAGTCTGTACTAAAAGGTCCATCTTCTGAATTGGCAATAGCCAACTGCCTTCTTGTAGAACAAGGCTTAACATACTTTTTATAGTTTGTTTTGCTTGGACAGAAAAAAACCCACCTGTACCTGCATATCCGCTAATACATCCTAGTGCTGTGAAATACAGGGACCATAAACCATCCCAGCTGCTGAGAAAAACTTTGGAAAAAGCTTTTCCTGAAGAACAGCAATGTATTTTAAGTTCCATCCATGCAAGCCAACCTTCCTGAAAGATGCCTAACGCTACAGCTAGCACAATTTCATCAGTAATTGCTATTTAAACATGGTAAGTGAAACTCAACTATCAAACAACAAATACTGATAACTGAAATACCAAGTGTTTGAAAAAGTTATATTGAGCATGCCTTGCAGATGTGCAGAACCAGGCAAGCAACAGCCTCTTCTCATGTATTTACTGTGAACAAGTAAGAATACATCAGTTTACATATAGGAAAAATGACCTTGACCCTAACAGTACGTTGTGTACAGGCACGGACATTTCAGGCAGCTGGAAACGAACCCACGCTCCCTGCAGGTTCCCAAAGAATAAGTGTAAAATCAAATCCATGCAAACTAGTTTGATCAAAAGCCAGCTCTGAAGCAATTAAGTATTGCTTAATACAGTATTAACAAGCATAGTGTGTATATCTGTATCTGTTTATACATTTAAAAAATATAAAATCTATATATT